GTATATATATATATATATATACATATAACTACTGAAAAATGGCAGATTTTCGACCGCCAAAACGGTCAAAATTCGGTCGAAAATCACGTATTTCCGACTATTTTCCGACCAAAATTGGTCGGTCAGAAAAACGTTGGTCGGAAAATAATTTCCGACCGAATCCGTTGGTGATTTCCGACCAAAATGGTCGCAAATTTTAAAAGGTCAGACGACCAAATATTTCACGTTTCCGACCAAAGTGGTCGGAACTTACCGACGAAATCAATCGTATTAAAACAAAATTATTATTTATTTAAAATTAAATAATATAAATATATCATTTCCGACTGAATCGGTCAGAAATTAATAATTAAAAATTAAATTTTATTTAATTTCCGACGAAATCCATAGAAAACTATTGAATATTAATTTTATTTTTAAATTTCCGACCGAATCAGTCGGAAATTAATAATTAAAAATTAAATTTTACTTAGTTTCCGACGGAATCCGTCGCAACAATTGAATACTATTTTTTTTTTTAATTTTCTGACCGAATCGGTAGGAAATCTGGGAATTTATGGTTAAATCTGGGCAGTTGTCCGACTGTTTCCGTCAAAATTCAATCGGAATTTTGTATAAAACCGGGCAGAATTCTGCCCAATTTCGAGCTACTCCACTTGTCAATCTATATACAATACAATAATACCAACCAATTAACACAATCTAAACCAACGATACATTAATACAATATACCAACCAACAACACATTAACACAATCTAAACCAACAATGCCAACCATTAACACAACTTATACCAACCATTAAACCTAACAATTTTGGGCATAAAAAACATCCAAATAGTAGCCCACATTCAAGTTTAAAAATAATACATAAAGTTGTCTCTCACAATCAAGTTTACCAATCAACCAAAACATTACAACTAAACTACTATACATCAGATTCAGTTTGTTCATCCTCATCATCAGATAAATCATGCCCATGTTTTCTCATGAATTTCTGCATCTTAATAAATATACCGTATTGGGAGTCCAATTGTTGCTTCAAATCACGAATTTCCGACCTCATATCTTCCATTTGTTCTTGATTTTGAGAAGAAGAAGAATTAGCTAAGAGTGGGTTTGGATGACCAGTAGGTCGATGTACTCCTAGTCCGTAGACTCTGCTTTTGTTTACTCCACCCGCTGCCTCTGTCCACAATGAAGCCATATCATTAGGTGTTGATTGAGTTGAAGGAGGCTGAGTTTATTGCCATTCTTCCAACCTTTTATGATAATCTTCCTGAAATGAAAAACATAACTATTATGTAAACAAACTAATATTAATAAACCATAAATAATTATGAAGTTAGAATTTTACATATGTGTCTGACGCACGCGTCTCCACCCAGTGTTCTTTTGTACCATCCTTCTTTTTTTCTTATGCATCTCCTCGAAGACCTCAGCGTGACTCATATCTCGCCCTCTTTCCTTTTGCTTCATAACATGTATTCTTAATATATTCTTGTTTAACCCAAAATTTTAACCACACCTAATTCAATATATTCTTCTCTCTTTTTGTTTTATAAACTACGAAAATTCTTAGTATGTCATATCAACTTCAGATTTTTTTTAAAACTAATATTAAAAATTTCTGAGATTCAAAGTACTTGAGATTTTTTCTTTAACTTCGTTTTGTATGGACAGTGTTAAATTAGTTAAAACATATAGTTCTTTTCTGATTTTTGTAAATCTTCCTGCACTAGTAAGCTAGCGTTTGGCCATAGATCCCAAATTTATTTTGAAAAATTTGATTTGGGTGAAGTTTGGTTTGAAGATGAAAATGTGTTTGGACATACGTTTTCAAAACATATTTTCCAACTTTATTTTGGAAAAACATGTATATAATTCCCAAGTTTAGGGATTTTGGCCCAAAATCAGATCAATAGCTAATTTTGGGATTTGAAATTTGGAATTTGGGATTTGACCAAAATATGAGCAAAATTTATGGCCAAACATGAGTTTTGAAAATAAATCCCAAATTTATTTTGGGAAAATTCATGGCCAAACGGGGCCTTAAATTCCTTAAGAAAAGAAAATGACATTCTTCAACCATATTAATCATTAACTTTATTTTGTAACAGAAATTAAATAATTATTTTCGAATATTAATCATTAAGATAACTTAGCTGTTTTTTCCACTTCCAAATAATTTGATTTAATCATTGAAATAGTCCGATCACTTAGCTGCTTCCAGCTAAGGGTTCTAATGTTCTATCACTTCACCAGATTTCTTGGAAATTCCATAGGCTATTAGAAGTATAGCTAGAGATTAACAATTACTGTCAAGTGAGGAATACAGATAAATACTGCAGACCGTTTGCATAAATAATTCAAGTTGAATGGTATGAGTATCCAATAGGTGCTCTCTAGGTGTATTATTTTGATTGTTAATGGTAATTTTCATAATTATTACCAAAAAAAATTCTATTACCAATCAAACAATGAGATTTCTAATACTTAATGTAGTTTAACGAAACACTTACCTCGACAGAAAAAATGCCGGAGAAGTCGACTGAGGAGCTGCTGCCACCGCCGCAGCCGACCACTCTAGCTGCTGCAAAACAAAGTAAAAAAAATAATTAATTAAGGGAAAAAGGGAGGAGGAATGAGAGGGAGAAGGGAGGAGGAAGCGAGAGAGAGGGCAAACATACGAGCTTGGGGACGGGGGAGAAGGACGAGAGGAAGAGAGGACCTTGGGGACGAGAGGAAGAGATGAGAGAACGAAAATCGAGCTTTTGTTTTTTGGGGAGGGGATGTAGGGTTTTTAAAAAAACTACCGACCAAATTGGTCGAAAATGAAGTCAAACCAGTCGAAATAAATTTTTCGCCAAAAGTTGCGACCGATTTGTTCGGAAATGTGGTCGAAATTTTTTTAAAAATATATATGAAATATTTTTTTGAAAATACCGACGGAGATTTCTGACAAAAAATTTCAGTCGGAAATTTCAGTGGGACGCTAACGTTTTTCTATATATATATATATATA